ACTCTGTTTTTTCAATACTTTGTTAAGTCAAGTCTAAACTGTATGGCTGGTTTAGCTCTCCTGCTGGGGTGAGACCCTTCGGGGGATTTCTACTGAATGCTCTGGGTGTTCAATAAGGTCTCTGCATTGGCTAGCTGGAAATTCAACATCCTCTAGCCATGTTTGAGCTCTAGAAATTGTTCAGCTTACAGCAGGCCTGTAGTTGTAGTTGCTCTTTGCCCAGTCTCATAGAGTTTCAGTCCATGTAAGCCAGTTCATTGCTCAGCCAAAGATGCAAGGGGACCTCATGCAGATTTTTTTACTCTTTCTCTGTATATCTCCTTCCTCTCTGGCACTGTACCCTGGAGATTTCAGCTACTTTGGCTTCCCTAAATTCCAGTCTCTATCTTCCTCAACTCAGTGAGACTTCAGTACTCTGCGTGGATTCCCCCTTCCTTGCACTGTGATTTGGAAATCCTCCAGGCATAAAGCTGTAGCGAGCATAGGGCTTACCTCATTTGTTTCTCTTTTCTTAGTGACTGTAGTCTTCTATTGCCTGTGTCCCAGTATTTAACAATAGTTTTTCGTATACTTTGTCTAATTATCTAGTTGTTATATGGCAGAAGGGCAAGTTTGGTATTAGTTACACCATCTTGGCCAAAAGTGTAATTCCCTCTAACCTCTTTGTATCAAGGACTTTGAACAAATAAATTTTGTACAAATAAATATTGCACCACATACTATGTCCCTCTGTGTAAGAGTTACAGTCTTAGAATATTAAAGACCCTCAAGCGTTCTACAGTTGAAAAACTAGACGGGCAGGCAGGCAGGCAGGCTGACTTTACTGGCACTTTCAAGTGACAAATGGAGACATTGAAAAGTTAGAGTTATGCCTTCCTTATTGAAGAAAAGAAGGGGAACCCAAGAACACTAACCCCTGGATATCTAAGATGTAAGAGAATTAGGCAGATGACCTTAATTGAAGATTTTGGGTCACTGTGAGTCAAAATTGACTCGACGGCAACGGGTTTGGTTTTTTTTGGTTGTAGAATAAAGAGCTTCTGGCTTCATTTATGGGCTGGTTAACAGGAGGAAGAACAAATTTTAGTGATATACTTGTGAGACTTGTGGAAACTTTGTTCAGTAGTCATCTTGGTATATACTGGAAAGAACATTAGATTCAGTAGTTGGGTTTAAATCCTGACTAATCTTCTCACCTGGTCTTATGACTTTTATCAAGTACCTTACTTTTCTGAAACTCAGTTTACACATCTTAAAAGTGTGAAGAATGCCATTTCTTAAGATTGTTGAAAGTATCCAATGAAATAATGCATGTTGAAGCACTTTGTAAACTTCACAAAGTACTACTTTTTAACTGTATTCTTGGGTGTTACTTTCAGTGACTGTTTTCTACTACTGGCTAGAATAAAATTTTTTTATTCTATTTGAGTAGGAAAGTAACAAAAATTTTAAGTGATTTCAATCTATATTATAGTGGTCTAGGGCCATGTGCTTCAAAGTGGGGCATATGAAAGACAATACATAGGGATAGGGGAATAAAATATTAGAATTTATATCTTTTATTTTTAATTTTTATTATTTTATACACATTAACAGTTAAGTAGTAATAATAAAATAAATGATGTTTACCTACTGTCCAGATTAAAAAATAGATCACCAGTACTCATGCTTCCTGCTCCCACTTTTCTGACTTTTTTTTTTTTCTGGGGGGGTAGGGGCCTGCTGGCACAGTGGTTCAGAGCTCGGCTGCTAACCAAAAGGTTGGCAGTTTGAATCCACCCGCTGCTTCTTGAAAACCCTACCAGGCAGTTCTACTATGTCCTATAGGGTCGCTATGAGTCAGAATCGACTTGATGGCAACGGGTTTAGTTTTGTATTTTTTTTTTTTTTATATTTTATTGTACTTCAGGTGAAGGCTTACAGAACAAATAGTTTCTCATGAAACAGTAGTTACACATGTTGTTTTATGACATTGGTTAACAACCCCACAACATATTAACCATCTAAATTCTCAACCTTTTTTTTTTTTTCTTTTTGGTGAAAATACACATAGCCAAAGATACACCGTTTCAAAAATTTCTACATACACAGTTCAGTGACATTGACTACGCTCTTCCAATTGTGCTGTTATTCTTACTTAAGATGAAGGCTTACAGAACAAAATAGTTTCTCATTTAAGAGTTACTACAAATGTTGCCCTATGACAATGGTTAACAATCTCACAACACATCAACAATATCCTTACTCAACCTTGTGTTCCCTATCACCAGCTTCCTTGTCCCCTTCTGCCTTCTGGCCCTTGTCACTGGACTCCTATACCTTGTTAGTCTCATTTGGTTTTACGGGGCTGTCCACTCCCAGGCTGAACAGTGAACCTCGGAGGTAACTTCACCACTGAGCTAAAAGGGTGTCTGGGGGCCATACTCTCGAGGTTTCTCCAGTCTCCTTTAGGCCAGTAAATCTGGTCTTTTTTTTTTGTGAGTTAGAATTAGTTTTGTATTTTTTAAATAATTTTACTACCTATGTCTGTCTCCTCAAATAACGCATTGTTTAGTTTTTCCCTGTTTTTGAACTTTATATAAATAATATCATACTGTATATATTTGCTCACCATTCCTTCTTACATTTCAGCTTATTGGAAGCATTTTTCTTCTGTCTGAAATACAGAGATTATAGTATCCTCTGGTGAAAGTCTTTTAGCCTCAGATTTTGTTTGCTTAAAAATGTTTTTATTTTGCACACTTTCTAAAAAAAGAAGTACAAATTCAAGTTGACAGTTATTTTCTCTGAACATTTTGACGATATTATTCTAGTGTTTTCTGGTTGTAATCATTGTTCAGAAATAAGCAGAAAGTCTGATTTCTGTTTCCTTATAGATGATCTCATTGGCTAATTTTAAGACTCTCTTTCTTTGATATTCTGCAGTTTCAGTACAATGTGACAAAAGTCACAAATAATTCAGTGATAATAATTTCAAGTTATTAACTTTAAATTTCTTAACATCTACTTTAAATGGTGATTAGTGGTCTGTAAACAATGAAGTACATAAAAGAATGCTTGCTATTTAAAAAGACCCGATTGTGAATTTTTTTGGAGAACATAGTTCTTAATTTGTCTGCTTTATAACTTTCTTCTCTAGATAGTACATATGTACTTTGATGTAAACAGGAACAGTATATTTTCTGTATCTTTCTACAGCACTATTGGAAATAATTATGAAAAATGGGAGCACAGCTGGAAATAGCGCTCATTGCCGAAAACCATCAGGCCGTGGTGTTCAGAACAAGACTAACTGCACAAAGGACAGCACATCCAGTAGTGGTGAAAGTGGAAAAGGCTACTCCAGAGACCAAGTAGATGGAGTTCTCAGGTAGGAATTAGCATGATTTGTATTTCAACTATAATTGATACTAGTGTAATTTTTTATGTTGTAAAACTGGAAAAAATGTGCTTGAATTATAATCAGTAGAAGAACAGACACTGAGGAATTGAACTCTGGTTGTCTTATGCTTCATCTCAGTCTGTAACATACCAACTCAGGTTCAATCTTTGGAAGCAACTATGAGATACAAAACTACTTCCAAATACTTTTTAAAAAGGAAAATTATTTCAAGTTTTGGCACAGTACAGTGCTTAGTGATACTGAAAGAAGGTGAAGAATGGTTATGTCTTATATATAGGTGCAAGTGGGAAAATTACATATGAGAGGAAAGTTGAGGGCAGTAGCAGCAGCATTTTTAATTCCCCATTTATGTTAATGACAGATGGTTACTATTTTCTGTTGATAGTCTTTCTTCACGCCATCTTTGTGAGTATATATATACGCAAAAACCATAGTGTTCTCTCTCCTTTTTAATATCTTTCTTATTCTGCCTCAGTGTTTTAGTTTTACCTCATGATATACTTCTACTTAAAGCAGAAGAATTAGGTAGCATTGAAGAGATATGAACTGGGTTTTGGGGATCTGGCTTTACTAATTTTATAAATTAGAAAAGCTTTTCTGTAAATAAAATTAACCTCTGACTATGAAACTCCAGAGAAAAAAACGTTTTGTTTCCTACTATAGCTTAAGGAAAATGTGGCCTCTGATGTTACTTTCCCAGGGAACTGAAGTTTAAGGATGAAGGACTCTGAACAAGGATTAATCAGATAATTCACAAGAGTGAATTATGTATAGTACAGTGAACTAGCTGACGTGAAGAGTAGGTAAATGTGGTTGCAGATTAAGCCTCTTATTCTCTTTTGGTCTTTCTTGTCTATTTCTCTTTTTATTTTCTTCTTTTCTCCCCCTACCTTTATCAGAAGTGAAACTAAAACATGGAAGCAGAATAATTTTTCCCATCCTAGCTTCTTAGTTCATTCTTTTTTACTTATCATAATTTGTATTGAAATCTATTTTAAGATAAAGGTTTTATCTATTGAGGAAAGTGATTTATCACCCTGTCTTAATTTTTAAATCAAGTATCAATACATTTATGTTTTGTCTTTTTCGTATGTATATAAATACTAAAACTTGATTGTAACATTTTATCTGATCGTGACCCACAGTAAGAAAAAGATCCTTAATGATGGTAATACCATGGTAAATAGTATTTGATTAGCATGAATGGTAGAGGAACACTTTGAGAATATAAATTATGCTGCTAACAACTTTTATAACTGTAGTACTGGTCAGAGGTGGCTGAATAAATGAGAGACTTGCTTTTGAATTTCTTTCAGAAGAAGCTTTAATTAAGCAGTGTACTGAAAGGTGTTCCTGGAAACCACATTCTAAAACAAAATTGTGTTTTCTTGTAGGAGTTACTTTTCAGTGAAGGACTCAAAATTAATAAAATTAATTGTATTATATATGATTTTTATTTAGAATCATTTTGTGATTTTTTTTTTTTTTTTT